GCCATATCACTGGGTGAGGAACTGATATCCCCAGATGGCACCACAGGTAGCCTAAGAGGATGTGGATGAAATAGAGTTGTTCTCATCCTTAGTCAGTGAAGGAGACAGGGAAGAATTTGTTGGAACTGAGGGCCAGAAGCCAAGCCTGAGACATTCAGAGGAAGTTTTACCTTTATACTTTAAGGACACAGGCTCTGGACTTAGAGCAAACTTCTAAGGCCAGCCGTGTGGCATTGAACAGATTACTTAAACTCTGTTTGGCTCAGTTTCCATAACCATGAAACAGAAATAATCATAGGACCTGCCTCAGGACTGTTGTAAGAATTAGCTGAAATAATATTTACAAAACAATGTATGACACATAGCAAGCAATCATCAAATAATAGCCTTTGTTATCAATTTATCATTTTAATGGCTATGAAAAACTAGAGAATTAATTTTAACCCTTAATCACTATATTGTAATGCAGATGCATTCATTTATTTGAGAAGTATTTATGAAGCATCTACTATGTGCCAGGCATGTTTTTTGGTACTACCAGGGAGAAATTAATATCTATGGTTTTAAGACTTTAACCTGATGTTAAGATCTCAAGGGATCTATGAATCAGATGTGAGAAAATGCATCCTTATTTTCACTAAACTAACTAAAATTTACTGTTTCCCTCATTATGAATGTAGACAACAAACTACAACAGTATCAACAGTACATGTGACTTTGTCACCAACAGAAGTAAATATTTTCATATCACATTTCAGTTATTGCCAATAGCTACACATATTTGCTGGAAATAATATTACATCAATTTATGACATTGGTAAAAAAATTTTAAGTACTAGAATTTTATGTGTTAATGAAGAAGAACATATATCAATATAAAAATCATTATGAGCATGCTTTACATTCTTGACTATGGTCAACTCAGGGTCAGTTTCCCTTGGATGCTTTTTTTCCTTGGGTAACAGGACAATTCTTGTTTCTTTTGGTAATCTAGCATTATATCCTGGACACTGTCCATGATGAGTTCTAGTAGCTTTGGCTTCTTGGTATCTGTTATATTTCTCCAAATATGGGTCGTTGTTTGTTGTTGTCTTGGTGGTAGTGGTGGTGGTTTGTTGTCTTAGTAGACAGTTAACCTAGCTAAACTCACTCTAAGTGTTGGGTACCAACTGCAAGCTCCAGACTCTGTTTCCACGGTATTGGGCATCAGCTGAAACCTCTGCTCAGTTCTTTTCTTGTACTCTGCCCCATGCATGCATAGCTCTGGGGTCAACCAGAGATTTGGGCAGAGCGTACAGGCCAAACATGGGGCTCCTTCACACGGTGCTTCTCTGCTCCCAGGTATCGCCCCTCCTGCTTTCCCTCTGCCATGGCCACCCCAAAGTCTGCTCTCTGGGTCTCTGAGTTTTGGTCACCCAGCATGGCGTCCTCTATGGCCTACTCTTACATGCAGACAAGCAAGAAACTTGCCTTTGCAGAGAGGAACAAGGTTACAAATGTCACTGCAGTGCTGAGTGGTTCGGGCTCTGCTGTGGCTTCCACCAATGACTGGGCAGACACTGCAGGACTCGGGATGCTGCCATGAGAACCACAGCTACCAGTGCTTCTCAGGGAATGGGCAACACAGCCCCTGCCACCAGCAGCCCAGCCTGACTGAAATCTGTGGGGACCCTGCTTCTTCCTACTTCGGACCTCAGACTCAGTGGGTAGTGGGTGCATGTGATTGGTGGAGCCTGAGTTAGGTATCCATGCTGTGGCTACAAGGGAAGCTGGGGGAGTGAATATTAACCATCCTCAGGATCTACAGTGGGAGGCAAATTCTACTTCATGGAATGGGGCAACATCCCAAACAAAGAATGGTTAATATAAAAATAATTGTTATTGTCTACTTTGTATGATATTAAATGGACAAAAGGAAGAAGTGAGAAAAACACAGATTAAGAAACTAATAAAATACACAAATTGCCAGTATCAGGAATCAGAGTGATGTTAGCACTGCAGATAATGATAGAACATCATGTACAACTTTATATTAATAAATTTGGCAACTTACACGAAATGGGAAAATTTCTTGAAAGATGCAAATAGCAAAGCTCAGTCAAAAAGAAATAAATACAGGCATACCTTGGAGATAGTACGCCTTCTGTTCCAGACCAGGGCAATAAAGCCAATATCACAATAAGCCAACTACCCACATTTTTTGGTTTCCCAGTGCATATAAAAGCTATAATCTATTAAATGTACAATAGTATTATGTCTGAAAAAACAATGTATACATCTTAATTTTAAAATATTTTATTGCTAAAAATGCTAATAATCATCTCGCGTTTGGTGTGTGGTGAGGGCCTTCTTACCATGTCCTCATAAGATGGAAGGCAGACATAAAACAGCAAAGTAGCCAGATACTGCATGAAGCCTCTTTTATAAGGGCCTTAATTCCATCCTGAGGGAGTAGCCCTCTGGCCTAATCACCCTTTCATAGATCTGGGTCTCTCTCTCTTCTTCCTTCTGTCCGTTTAATACTATATAAAGCAGACAATGACAATGCCTCACCTCCTAATAATATCGCATTGGCAACACCTGAATTTTGGAAGGGATCCATTCAAACCATACCATCCAGTGTCAGGTATTTTGTCATGACAGTGCAAATGGATTAAGAAAGTTTCCAAATAATTTTGTTCAGTGAAAGGAACCAAACACAAAAGAACACTTATTGTAACATATTATTGTATAAAACTCTAGAAAATATAAACTACCCTGTAGTGACAGGAAGCAGATCATTGGTTGCCTGGGGACAGGAGAGGAGAAGAGAAAGGGATAGTCATGGGCTTGAGGAAACTTTGAAGGTGATGGAAGTCCTTATTGCCTTGATTGTGGTGATGGTTTCATAGGGATGTGTGTGTGTGTGTGTGTGTGTGTGTGTGTAAGCTTATCAAGTTGTTTAGCTCAAACATGACAAATTCACAGTTTATTGTCTGTCAAATATACCTCAGTGTACACACAACCTACAGAATGGGAGAAAATAATCTGACAAAGGTCTAATATCCAGAATAGAACCCCGTTAAAAATGGGCAAAAGACATGAACAGACACTTCTCAAAAGAAGACATACAAGTGGCTAAGGAAGATATGAAAAAATGCTCTTATCAGCAATCATCAGAGAAATGCAAATCAAAACCACAGTGGGATACTATCTCACCCCAGTGAGAATGGCCATCATTTAAAAGTCAAAAAACAATCGATGCTGGAGAGGCTGTGGAGAAAAGGGAATGCTTATACACTGCTGATGGGAATATAAATTATTTCGGCCACTGTGGAAAGCAGTTTGGAGATTTCTCAAAGAACTTAAAATAAAGCTACTATTTGACCCAGAAATCCCAGTACTGGGTATATACCCAAAGGAGAATAAATCATTCTACCACCAAGACACATGCACCTGTAGGGTCATCACAGCACTATTCGCAATGGCAAATACATGGAATCAACCTAGGTGTTCATCAGTGGTGGATTGGATAAAGAAAATGTGGCACATATTCACCATAGAATACTATACAGCCTTAAAAAAGAAATGAAATCATGTCCTTTGCAGCAACATGGATGCAGCTGGAGGCTGTTATCCTAAGTGAATTAGTGCAGGAACATAAAACCAAATGTCACACGTTCTCACTTATAAGTGAGAGCTAAACATTGGGTACTCGTGGACATAAAGATGGAAACAACAGACAATGGGGACTACCAGAGGGGGCAGGGGTTGAAAAACTAACTATTGGGTACTGTGTTCAGCACTTGGACCCTAAACCTCAACATCACACACTATACCCAGGCAACAAACCTGCACATGTACCCCCTAAATCTAAAATAAAAGTTGAAAAAATAAAATTTCTTAGGTAGTAAATGTGTGTATATATATACACACACACAGACACACACACACACATATGCACACATTGCATGTAATGGGATTAAGGCCCTTATAAAAGACTTCACGCAGCATCTGGCTAGCTGGTCTTTCTCTCTCTATCTCTATACACACACACACACACACATATACACACACACACACACACACACACACGGGTATTTATATTGCACATAACATTGGGCAAACTACTTCAACACTTTACAAAGAAAGATATAGCTATGGTCAGTGAGCACATAAAAATGTACTCAACATGATTAGTCATCAGAAAGACTATAATTGAATTAACGATGAGATACCACTTCCCACCTTCTCAAATGGCTAAAAATAAAGGCATACAACCTCAAATGTTGTTGAGGATGGTAAAGAAAAAGAACTCTCATACATTTCTGGTGGGAATGTAAATTACACAACCACTTTGGAATACATTCTGGCAGTTTCTTATGAAACATAAAACTATCCTATGATGTGGCAATTCATCTCTTAGGTATTTGCCCAAGAAAAATGAAAGCATATTTCCATACAAAGATGTGTACATGAATATTCATAGTAGCTTTATTTATAATCGTCCAAACTGGAGACAGCCCAGATCATAACCTGGTGAATGAATAAACCAACTTTCATGTATCCATACAACAGCATACTACTCAGCGATAGCACATTCAACAACATAGATAAATCTTAAAAACGTCACGTTGAATGAAAGAATCCAGACACACAAGAGTACATACAATCTGATTCCATTCATACAGAATAGTGGCTTTCCTGGTCTTCGCCCTCAGTTCCCGACCCTCCCCCTCCACCACCATGTTGAAGACGCCCAAGAGGGAGAGGTCCCTTCCGTTCCTTCGTTCCCTCCTTCGTCTGCTGGTCGATTTGTTCATTCATTCATCTGCACGCTCATTCCACTCCTCCCCACCTCCACCCTAGCGTCTAGCCCGCCCGCGCCGCTCCCGGGCAGACGGATCAGACTCGCCAGCCCAGTTCGCCCCGCCCCAACCCCGCCCCTTTCCCTCCCCGCCCCCTTTCTGGGCCAATCGGGGCCGAAACTGGGGCTGGGGCGGGGCATCGCTTCCTCAGAACCCCCCGCTGCGCTCGCGGCTCCGGAAACGCGCTGCGGGGCTGTTAGGCTCGGCCGGGCACGGGCTTCTCCGTGGCGCTTCCTGCCACGCCAAGCCTGCCTGGGCAGCCCCAGCGCCGCTCAGCCGAGGGCCGCGCGACGGCCGCCGCCGGGCGTGGGTGAGTGTGCGGGCCACGGGAGTATGTGCGGGAAGCGCGGGACTGGGCGCAGGGCCCTGGTGATCGTGAGGGCGGCAGGAGGACGTGCGGGCCTGAATCAGCGTGCGGGGCCGCGAGAGGACGTGCAGGGGGCGCAGGACCGTGTGCGGGGCTGGAGCGACTGTGCGAGCCGCGGAAGAGAGCACGGTGGAGGGAGGGGGCGTCTGGGCTGTTGGAGAGCTGCTTGGCCTTGGGCCGGCCAGAGCTGGGAACGGGTCCCGGATGACTGGTACGAAGAGGACCTAAGGCCTTCCCGAGGCGGGCGGGGGCGGCGGTCCCGGGTGGGAATAGCGAAAGTGCGGAGGCCTGCTCTGTTCTTTGGGGGACGCTAGGGGTTGGGAACCGCTCAGGGGCAGAGAGAGAGGACCCCCGACCCTAGCACCTAGAAGCCCCATTGGGAGGGGCGTTGTAGTGGGGAGCTTAAAGGACTTTTCACTGGTCTGGGGGAGGGGCTGAGCCGCAGTCTGGGCGCTGGGTGGGAACAGTTCCCACTAGGGAGTCCCTCCTTTCTTTTGAGGGGGCGGGGTGATGTTAAGCCTCAGCTTGGTAGGGAGGATGGGGGCAGATAGGTAGCCTAGAGAGAGAGCTGTGGGGAAGCAGGGGAGAGGGGGCGGTGAGCCGAGCTCAAGGCCCTCTGTCTGAACCAGTCTTTTTCTCTTGCCCTACTGGGGGCCGCCATCTCCCGCTCCAGTGCCCCTGCCCTCTTAAACTCTTTGCTGGCTCCACCAGTCTATATTTGGGTGATTAATTACATGTCTTTTCCACACACACACACACACACACACACGCCACTCGCCTGCTGCCCAAAGCCCATGGTCCCTTTCAAACAACTCCCCCAATTCCTGGCCCTCTTCCCAGAGGTCCCACCCTGCCACCCTGTTCCAACCGAAGCTCTCCAGCTAGCCTTGGCCTAGCTGGGCATGCTGCCCCCTCCAGTCTTCTTGGTCAATGAAACATTTCCTCTTCAACCTCAGCCCGACATTTTTCCTTTACAAGAGATTTTCAGATGGGATTGCTGCCTCAGTCCTTCCCCACCCCCACCCCACGACATTGGGCCTTCAAGTAGAAGCCACTTGCACAGTGTCTGGCCCAGTTCAGTACATCCCCCGAAAATGTTACTTGGGAGATGTACTGGACTGGGCCGGACGCTGTGGGTTTCATATATAGAACCCTAGTGAACAGTGACTTTCAGCCTTCTATCTGTGAGGGACCCCTTGGAAATCTACTAGAATGTGTGAATTCTCTTCTGACCAGCACAGACTTGGAGATAGTGGGCTCCCATTTCAGGAGGCTCCTGGGAAGGAATCCTGTCAATGACAGATTTTGAGAGTTGGAGAATTTGGGAACCTCCAGATTCTAGACAGGCCAGTGTTAAGGAGGTGGAACTCTGCATCATAATCTCCTGGATGCTTGTTGAAAAATGCAGATTCCTTGGTCTCTCCCAGACCTCCTACTCTGCCACATGAGTTCTTAGTGAACTCCAAACCAACTTTCTCACTCAGTGATCCAGCCCTTACCCAAACCTGCCCAGGCTCTTTGGATGGCCCTGAGCTCCTTGCAATTTGCATAGCATCCCACCTCACCCCCAATTTCCAATCGTTTGTATGCAGGCAGTGTTACCTAAAGGAAGCTATACTTACGATTTATTTTGATTTTTAGTAAGATGCTTTCCTCAATTAAGTATAACAAACACTACAAAATCCCTTTCTGGTCTACCTTCTGGCTTTTTATAGAAAGGAAATAAGATAGAAACCTAAACAGAAAGAGACAGGTGCCCAGGCAAAGTGAGAGAGGAAACAGATGCCTTCCCACCCACACATACAGAAAAAGGCACACACAGACACAAATACCCCAAGAGAGACAGACTTTCCTGGTGAGATGCCCTCTCTTTAGGCCCTTCAGGATTCGAGTAGCAGCCTGTTTACATGGGACGGGACAGAGTGGGCCCGCATGGGGCCTTCACTTAGGCCTCCTGGCCTGCCAAGTGGAAAGAACATGAAGGCCAGGGTCGGTGTGGCCCAGGACTTGGCTCAGGGGTTGCATCCTGGCCTGGCTAGGGTGGATCCAGATCTTAGTGGTGTATATTCAGTTGAACCCAGTATCTAGCCCAGTTCAGTACATCCCCCAAAATGTGGGGGACAGGTTCCTGGGAGGTGCGCACAGGTTGGCTTCTGTTCACCTGAATTATTGCAATCCAACAGGTGGGGCCTTACCTGCCAGGCTGATCCCTTGGAGTAGCTCTGAGCCATGATGAGTCACTCGTGTGTGTCTCTTTTGGGTAAGTCTGGATGTTGATGTGTACTGTCTGCTGGACTTGACGCTGGGCATGCTACCAGAAGACCCTATGGGGAGGGTTACAGCATGGTGAGGAGTATCATTTTGGTTCCAGAAGCACTTATATTTTCATCTATGCCAGTGTCGCTGAACTGTCTGCCCAGAGACAGTTCTCTCAATCCACGCACTACAGCTCACAGGAGAAAAGACATTCAGGAAAAAGAATTTGGAATCTAGTCTCTCTTTTGGATGGGAGAGGCAGCTGAAGGCATCCACCTGAACTGGATCTCTTGTGAGTGGAAACCTTTGAAAACACCCTTTGGGGTATATCTGCTCTTTCCTTGAACTGAACTGAACACAAGCCACCTGTTGTCTTCTGGGTAAACTAAGGCTTTAGGGGACATTGTGCTCCAGGTCTTTATTTAGATGCTTCAGAGAGTCCAGGTGTTTCTGGCACTCCTTGGAAGCTTCTGGAACCCTCCAGATGGGCTTTATTTGGGTGCCCTTGCTGCCTTTCCCCTGTTTGTTAAACAGCTGCGGTGTAATGATGCTTGCCTGGGTCCAGTGTGCAATTCACAGCAGACCTTGACAGGGCCTTTGCTTTTAGACTATCTTCAGATCCCGTTGAAAGAAGGCAAGTAATACTGTTTACATTGAGGATTGGAAACGTGTTTTCCCATAGTATTTCTTCGAGTTTTCATATTTCCCAGTTATATGTAGCTGTGCACCCTACAGGATCCGGGGCATCCTTTTATGCTGTGAGTGGAAGTGCCTTCCGTTCAAGGTCAGCATTACCCTGTGTGGTACATCGGGTGCGCATTACAGTGATTTTCATGTTCCATCTGGAACTGCTTTGACCTTGATTCCCCAAGAGCCACTGTCAGAAGGCAGTGGACACCTGCATTTGTCACTTTTGCAACAGCATCCAGCTTCTTTTCCTGATTAGTTCCACCATTTTAAAATAGAACAGTTATACGACATGGATCCTAAATGATCCAGTTGTCTCTAGGATTGATGATTATTTTATTCTGAACTGCAGTAGGGATTAATATGTTACCTTTTTAAAAATGATCTTCCTTCGCTTCTCCTGACTGATTAATTATGCAGAGTTTTGTTTCCTTTTGTGGGAGCAGGGCCCACTTCTTTCCTTCCACTTTTATGAGCACCTGTTACATGACCGCCATGTGTCCAGGGGCTCTGTCACTGTGGGCTAAAGTGCGCTCAGGCTAAGTCCCCTGGGTGAGCTGTATGAGGAAGAGCCACTCCTGTTGCTGCACAGGAAAGGATAATTAACAATTCATTTGGGGGTTGTGGCTCCAGGATTTCAACAGTTAATCATGCCAATTAAGTAAAAACACTTCAGTAGGATTTGCTCCATTAAATGGAACACTTCAAGAGAATTTGCTCGATTAAACATGGTTGGCTTGGGAGTAGTGTGCGCGCGCTTGGGTGTGTGTGTGTGTGTGTGTGTGTGTGTAGGAGAGAGAGAGATGGAGGGGGAGAGAGAGAGGAATGTGTCTCCTTTGCATGGTGAGGGCATGTTAACAGGATGGTTTAAAGGCATCCCCCAAACACCCATATGTATCATTAGACCTAGATGCACTAAGCCTCACCCCCAGTCTGTCTTCTGGCTGTGGTGTGATGTTATAGGTTGAATATTATTTTGCTCTTCTCTGGCATGGTTCGAAAAGTCTCAAATCTTGTGAGCTGGATATTAAGCAAGTTGACCTCTTGGAGCCCTGGTTTCCTTCTCTGTGAATGGAGGCAGTAATAACCATAAGCTGTGATAAGTGAGTTACAGGAAGGGAGATGCACGGCTCCAAACACATGTAGTGCCTGCTCCAAGGATGGAAGTGTGCTCCATTTAACATGCCCCTCTCCACACACGTTGATTCAGTCACCCTACGATTTATCAGAGGCCCACTCAGGGCCAGGAGCTGCTGCAGACACTGGGGACTCAGAAGTAACCAACAATGCGAAAGCCCCTGTGCTGTTGGAGCTCCGTTTCTCCCAGAGACTGTCAGTTAGAAACAATCGATTTCATTGAATCATGTTTTAGTCAGCAAAAGTGTTCCAAGTAGACTATGATGGGGACTAGAATGCCTTCACTAAAGGCATTCTACAGAGGTGACATTAGAGTTGAGGCCTGATGTGGGCCAGGCACAGTGGCTCACACCTGTCATCCCAGCACTTAGAGGTTAAGGTGAGAAAATGACTTGAGCCCAGAAGTTCGAGACCGGTCTAGGCAGCATAGTGAGACTCCATCTCTACAGTTTCTGTTTTAATTTAAAAAATTAGCTGGGCGTGGTGGCACGCAGCTGTAGTCCCAGCTACTTAGGAGGCTGAGACAGGAGGGTCACTTAAGCTTGGGAGGTCGAGGCTACAGTGAGCTGTGATGGCACCACTACACTCTAGCCTGGGTGACAGACCCAGACCCTGTCTCAGAAAAATAAGAGTGGCATTGAAGCCCAGATTTTCAGGAGCCACCCATGAGAAGCTTATGGTACTCTCAGCAGTTTCCCAGGCCTTGAAGGCCACAGCCTTGGTCTGTCTAGGACTGAATGAAGTCCAGCATGTCTCGATATCACTGAGATGTGGCAGGGCAAGATATGGGATTGGTGGGCTGAGCCAGGGTCTTGTTGGAAGGTTAAGTTCTTAGGTCTCTGGCCTGAGGTCAACAAGAAGAGGTCTCTAACAGATCCTCTTTCTCAGAAGGTATATCCACAATACCCCCCTCTCCAGTCCATTTGGCAGCCAAACATCCATGTCAATTAGAAGTAAATTTTTTAAAAAATGAATCGTATGAGTAATTCATGACCATTTCATTGTGTACTGGAAGCCAAAGTCAAATCAGACATCGAATGTATACTGGAGGAATCCAGCGGACTAGCAGGGCCCTGCCCAGGTGACAGTGGGACAGAGAGGGTGTGGCTGCTGAGCACCTGAGGATGAACACAAACTCACCGGGGAAGCCCCTGTGCCCGGCAGCCAGTTAAAGATGGGAATGGGGCTGCCTTGGACTCGGGCTAGATGAGGTCTTCTGCCAACACTTCCTAGGTGCTGATGGTTTGTGAGGAGGAGCCCAGAAGTCACAACCCCATGGGCCTGTCTCTAGGCTTTCTGGTCATTGCCCTTCGTGGACTGCCCACAGATTCCTGCCAGCCTTGCCGTGTGGGCATCCCAGGAAATGCTGGTCTTTTGACCCAAGCAGAAGGGCTGTTCCCCATTGACCCCTTGGCGTCAGCCCTTGGCCTCTCACATGCTGAGCATCTTTCTTACCCAAAGTCTTTTAAAACCAAACTATTTTACAATTGTTATCCTTTTCTGATACCAACAAAATTCAGCTTGGTTACTAAAAATTCTCATATTACAGAAAAAGAAAGCAGATCTTTCTAGACCTAGACTTTCCCTCACTCCAGCCCCATGTGGTCACATACACATCGTGATGTGTTTATTATAGCTACAAGTCTTTTCCTTTTCTCTCTTAAAATACAAATATAGACTTAGCCATCTCCTCCCCTTCCTTTACCTTCTTTGGGTTTCAAGGGAGAGTTACTGTGTCTGCCTGGATCATCCTACGTTGGCCCCTGTTGGTTTATATCGAAACCCTCCAGTTTTCTTCCTGCTGAGTTCTAGGACTCTTCGGTAGTGTCTCCAGAGCTCTTAGCCACATTTGTCATTTATTCTTTCTGCCACTTTTTTCGTGACATTGGGATTTTTCAGACTCTTTCCGTTGGTTCTAGTATTATGTTTTCCATTCTCCATCCGTTTACTTTTAACATATCTGTCTTCATATTTAAAGTTTCTTGTAGACAGTGTGTCTTCTTTTTAGTACAGCCTGAAAAGCTCTGCCTTTGATCAGAGTGTTTAGTCCACTTATACTCACCTTAATTATTCACGTAGTCGGGTTTAAGTTTGCCATCTTGCTATTCGTTTTCATTTGCCCCTTCCATTCTTTTTTCCCCTCTTTTTCTGTATGTTTCTTCTTTCAGGTTATTGTTAGTACATATTTGATCTCTGACGTTGGCTTATTAGCATGTATCAGAGTCTTGGAGGACTTGCCAGAACACACAATCATATGTTTTACTTCTACTGATGTTATAAACCCCATACTACCTTATTATTACTTTTGCTTTAAATGATTAATTATTTTTTAAATATTTAAAAGTGAGGTGGGTAAAAGCGTTTTATATTTCCCTATATATTTACATTTCTGGTGTTCTTCATGCCTTTGTGTAGATCCATCTTACCACCTACTATCATTCTCCCTCCACCTGAAAGATTTCCTTTAGTATTTCCTGTAGTACAGATCTACCAGTGATGAATTCTCTCAGCTTTTGTCTGAAAACAAATTTTATTTTGCCTTCATTTTGAAAGGAAATTTTTCTTGAATATAGAATTCTAAGTTGACAGGTTTGTTTTTTCTTTCAGCTCTTTAAAAATGTCACGCACTGGTTTTCTGGTTTGCACGCTCTGATGAGAAGTTACTAATCACTCTTTGTTTCTCTCTACTTCAAGACTTTCTCTTTATCCCTGGCTTTTCGGCAATCTGAGTTTCTTGGATGTGTGAGCTTACAGTTTTCATCAAATTTGGAAAACTGTCCAGCCATTATTTCCTTAGCTGTGTTCTTTATCCCTCCCCCAATTTCCTCACCTTCTCAGGTTCCAGTTACGTAGGTGTTAGACCACTTTCTATTACCCCAGGTTATTGAGATACTGTTTGTTTTTAAAAAGTCTTTTTCTCTCTGAGCTTCATTTGAGTTCATTTCTCTTGCTATGTCTTCGAGTTCTCTAGTTTTTGTGTCTGGTATCTAATCTGCTGTTAATCACATCTAGTAAAATCTTCATCTCCAGAAGTTCCATTTGGTTCTTGTTGTAGCTTCTGTTTCTCTCACTATATTCCTGTTTTTCTTTTAATGCTTATATATCGTTAAACTCACTGTTATCTTTATCTGTCAGTCATCACTGGTCGTTTCTGTGTGTTTCTATTAACTGGTTATTCTCCTTGCCATTTCTGTGCTCTATGGCATTTCAGTACTTTCTGATTGGATGTTGGATATTATAAAGATTATGTTGTTGAGTGTCTGGATTTGGGGTGGTAGTTATTTGGGGATCAGTTTGATCCCCTTGAGGCCTATTTTTAAGCTTTCTTTGAGACAGATCTTGTGTAGCTTTGGCTTTAGGAATAGATCAGCCCTACTACTAAGGCATGACCCCTCTGGATTCTCTACTGCATGTCCCAGGTTATCACAGAGGACTCTCTATACTGATTGGTCAAATCTTGAATGTCTCCCTACCTTTGTGTGTCCCGAAAATTGTTCAGCTTACAGCTTCCTGGTCACTCTTTTCCTGGGCTTTTGGAGTTTCACTCTATGAACGCATGGCCTAGTAGTCAGGAAAGACTCAAGGGGAGGCTTATACCGATTTTTTGAAGCTCTTTTTTCTGAGTAAGTAACTCCTTTCTGGAACTCTGCTCTGCAACTTCCAGCTGCCTTAGCTGCTCTAAATGCTGGGCTGTGTCTCCTTAACTTGGCGAAGCCACTGAGCTCTGTTTGGTCCTCGCTCCCCCCCTCCAAACACACAATCTCTATCTGGAAATTGCCTCCAGGCAGAAAGCTGGGGCAATCATAGGGCTCCCATCATCTGTTTCTCTTCTCTTGGGGATCATAATTGTGTACTTATTGCTGTCCAGTGTCTGAAAATTGTTTCACATATATTTTCTCCATTTTTCTACTTATTTATGGCAGGATGTGAAATATGTTCCTTGTTACTCCATCACAGCCAAAAGTGGAAGTTTCTGTCCATCCATTCTTTTTAATATAACATCTTTAATTTTGTATAAAAGTCTTTCTGGAGTAGCTGCATTTTGTGGGCCTTGAGCCAGTGTAAAACGCCTTCCTTTTTACTGAATTATGAGTTGAATTGAATTGTCATCAGAACAGGAACCGTGTAGCTGTTTCTTTGAACTCACTGAAGTGGGAGGCCTGTGATGCGTGGATGTCGGTGAATTTGGAAAAAGAAAGTAATGTGTACAAATCGTTCAACTTTTATTTAGCAATTTCGTGTTTGGAGATCTTTTCTTTGAGGCTTATTTTTCCAGCTGTTTTGTTGAGCTTTTCATTTGGTTGAATGCATTAGAGAACTGCCGTCATGTGTACCCATCTCGCTGTCACCAGGCTCCTTGTTGCAGTAGGCTGTGGCTTTTGAGGGCCTCACTGCTGATCTAGAAGCCCCCATTCCTGCTCTCTTCCCTCCGGCATCCTGATCTGGTTTTTCGTTACCTCTACAAAGTTGGAAATGGTCTCTCATTTCCTGGTTATCTCTTCTGATGATCTTCATGTGCCTCCTTCCTGTGCATTGTCAGCATGGACTTCTAGGCCTGCCAGTCCCCCTGCCATTGGCTCTCTGTCTAGATCTGTCTTCTCCTGGCTGTGCCTGGGCTGGCATCTGCTGGTCTTGTCTTGGCTCCCTGTAGCCTGCCTCTGTTCATTCTTTGCCAGTCTGCTTTCCCCACTGTTCAAGGTGTGTTTTTTCAGGCATCTCCATGCCCTGGCTTGTCATTGAGCCAGCACATGAGAGAAGACTCAACAAGATCAGAAACCAAGGAAAAGGAAATCACCAGTGTCATCCCAGGGGACCCAGAAACAGGGATGTTGTCACTCATGGCTTTTTTCACTTTCTTTAGGTCCACCTACTCCCCAGGGTCTTGCCCTTCCCCAGGATGGAGCCCCAGGAAACCAGGTCCTGGCAGTTCCTCTTGACATGCCAGAGGCCCAGGTGAGCTGTGCTTCCCTCTACCTTGCTTGTGATTCTGTCACCGCTCCCTGAATCTGGCCTCTACCTCTGTCTTTTGCCCAGCATGACACAGCAGAGTATGAACCCCAGCTGCCGCCTTCCTGCCCTCCCACTGCTTCTATTCTGGAGGCTGCCAAGGATTGGATGTCCACTGGGCTTGGAGTTCCCATCATCCAGGTGGGGGAGCTGAGTTTCCACCCAGGAAAGTGATTGAATGGAGGTCCCTTGGGAAGACAGGAGAGGCCAGGGATCCTAGTTCTTCATTAGGTTCTCTTTTTAGGACTTCTTGGAGCTGTGGTTAGACCTCCATGTTAGCAACAGACACCCACTCTAGACCCTCACCTCTTGTCCCTGGCATTACTGGCACTGCCCGTGCCTCATTCTAAAATAGATGGAAAAAATGATTAGCCCTGGGAATTCTTTCAGGATTTGGTGACATTTGATGATGTGGTATGGTACCTCACCACAAGGGAGTGGTTGAGGCGGGACCCTGAACAGAGGGTGCTGGCATATTATGGGAATGTGACCTATGTGGGTAAGGATGCCCCAGCCCTTCCTCAAATTCACTACCTGCTTAGAGTGGGACAGGGGGCACATGGCTATCCCCACAGAAGTTCACCTTATCCCTGAGTTTTGGGAAAACACAATGGGTTTGCCACACCTGATATGTCAGAGTAACATGAGCTCCCCCACCAGGGTGAGGATCACCTCCTCAGGGTGGCCATGGAAAGAACCCCTCTCAGTCTTTCATTGGGAAAGCAATTAGAACACTGCCACTGTATTGTAGAATACTCTTTTCTTTTTAAGGCACAACTTATGCAAATTGCATGGCCATTTGATTCGAGTTTCCTTGGGAGAAAGGTTGATGTGATCAAGGTCTGCATGTATGCAGTGGGGAGGAGGTTTTAGGAGAGACTGTTGGGAGTCAGATTTGGGAGTTGTGGATATCCACGTGTTGAGAAAGAGCATGAAGTTCAATGTGTGAGCACTGAGGGGGTGGACAGGGAGAAAGCAGGGTCAGGATCACCTCTTCAGGGTGGACACGTGATGATACTCCACAGGAGCCTCCCCCAAGTGGGCCCAGAGCCTGCCTTCCTCAAGCTTCTGGAAGGAGCCTGCCCTTGGGAAACACTTTTGAACTGAATGAATGACTTGCCTAAGGTTACGGCCAGCCTGGTCTTGGAAGAGTGAAGGGGGTTCCCCTCCAAAGGCCTTGCTCGTGGTCCTCCCCTATTCTCATGTCACCTCTGGCTGTCACCATAACCAGTCTCCTTTTCCATGAGCAGGTGTTCCTGTTTTGAACCCTGCCTTGGTCCCTCACCTGGCACAGGGACAAGTGCTGTTGGTATCAGACCCATCGCCTAGCACAAATCCAACTAAGTACTCTGGTGAGTGAAAAAGAAATGTGAGAAAATCGGGGGAGGCCCAACTGAATTGCTATGGGGTTTGGGTTAGGGTTGGGGGGGCCCAGCTGAGCTCTTGGAGTTGAGGTTAAGGTTCAGAGGATCAGCTGGCCTCTCAGAGATTTGGAGGGGGCACAGCTGAGCTCTTAGGGTTGAGGTTATGGTTGGGGGGCCCAGATGAGCTTTTGAGATTGAAGTTAGGGTTTGGGGGCACTGCTGAGCTCTTGGGCTTGAGGTTAGAGTTAAGAGAATCAGCTTAGCTCTCAGGGGTTTGGGTTAGGGTTGGAGAGCTCGGCTGAGCACTTGGGGTTGAGGTTAGGGTTGACAGGATCAGCTGCGCTCCCGGGGGGTTCAGGTTAGGGTTGGTAAGGCCATCTGAGCTCCTGGGTTTGAGGTTAGGAGTAGGGGGCCCAGCTGAACGTTTGAGGTTGAGGTTAGACATGGACGGGCCCATTTGAGCCCCTAGGGTTGACGTTATGGTTAAGAGGAGCAGCTGGGCTCTCTGGGCATTCGGGTTAAAGTTAGGATCCCAGCTGAGCTCTTGGGGTTGAGGTTAGGATTGGGAGGTCTCAGCTTGGCTTTTGGGGTTCCAGTTAGGGTTTGGGGCCCAGCTGAGCTCTTCACAGTGAAGTTAGGGTTGAGAGGATCAGCAGAGCCCTTTGGAGATTCAGGTTATGTTTGGGGCTGAGGTTGGGGTTGGGGGCTAGCTGAGCTCTTGGGGTATAGGTTAGGTTTGAGAGGACTAACTGGGTTCTTGGGGTGTTTGGGTTAGGGTTCAGGGAAGTGTGATCACTGTGATAGAGAGTGTCTAGAATGAGACCCCTCTGCCCCTGGCTGCTGCAGCCCTGGCCCCGCACTCAGTGGCTGTCTCGGAAAGAAAAGGATTATTGACAAAGGGGAGGCCCTTCCCTCCTTCCTCCTCTTGTGCTACAGTGCCATGTGTTTATCGTTTCAGAAAACACCTCCGCTACCCGACACCAGATGATGGGGGAAGACACCCAGCCACAGGAGATGGCATCCACAAGCTCCCCAAAGGCCAGTGACCCCAGTCCTGAAGTCAAACAGCACGGAGACTGTGACAGGAAGAGAGGGAGCCCACAGAATCTGCCCATAGAACATCATTTTGCTTGTAAAGAGTGTGGGGACACCTTCCGGCTTAAAGTCCTGCTTGTCCAGCACCAGAGAGTCCACAGTGAGGAGAAGGGCTGGGAATGTGGTGATTGCGGTAAGGTCTTTAGGGGGGTGGTGGAGTTCAATGAGCACAGGAAAAGCCACGTAGCTGCGGAGCCCCGGCCCGGCCCCAGTAGGATCCTGGAGAATGCCACGGAGAAGAGGGAGCAGATGGAGAGGGAGGCCAAGCCCTTCGAGTGCGAGGAGTGCGGGAAGCGGTTTAAGAAGAACGCAGGCCTCAGTCAGCATCTGAGGGTCCACAGCAGAGACAAGCCCTTTGATTGTGAGGAGTGCGGGCGGTCCTTCAAAGTCAACACCCACTTCTTCCAACATCAGAAACTTCACACTTCGGAAAAGCCTTTTGCCTGCAAGGCGTGCAGCAGGGATTTCCTAGATCGCCAGGAGCTTCTCAAGCACCAGCGCATACACACCGGCCACCTGCCCTTCGACTGCGACGACTGCGGAAAGTCCTTCCGAGGGGTCAACGGGCTGGCCGAGCACCAGCGCATCCACAGTGGGGCCAAGCCGTATGGGTGTCCCCACTGCGGGAAGCTCTTCCGAAGGAGCTCGGAGCTCACCAAGCACCGGCGGATCCACACAGGCGAGAAGCCCTATGCCTGCGGCCAGTGCGGCAAGGCCTTCCGCCAGAGCTCCAGCCTTCTGGAGCACGCGCGCATCCACAGCGGCGAGCGGCCCTATGCGTGCGGTGACTGTGGCAAGGCCTTCCGCGGGCCCTCCGACCTCATCAAGCACCGGCGCATACACAGCGGACTGAAACCCTATGAGTGCGACAAGTGCGGCAAGGCCTTCCGCAGGAGCTCTGGCCTCAGTCGCCACCGGCGGATCCACAGCGGTGCACGACGCTGCGAATGCAATCAGTGTGGCCGTGTCTTCAAGAGGCGCTCGGCGCTGCAGAAGCATCAGCCGACCCACCACGAGTAGAAATACCCTGCGGAATAGGGACTGGGTCCCCAGAGGGGGATGGCAGAGTCAAAGGAGATGAACAGTTTTGTAGCGCTTATATATTTTGTCTTCCGAAAGGTTGAGACCGATTTACACTGCCACCAGCAATTTGTAAGTGTACATTATGGCCATCGAGAGTAGCTCGTACCATTTAACAGCTTGGCTAGTTTAACTGGTAGGAAGTACCATCAAGGTATTTCAGTCCACATGCCTTGAATCCAAGAATGAGAAAGGACAAATCTGGATGTGAGGTTGGGGGGGAGCTTAGAGGTCATCGACTCCAAGCTCCCCGCGACCCAGAGAAACACACAAAGCTGTTCCACGCATTATAATGTGATCCCAGCTTCCTGAAGACAAGTTACCCTCACGTTTTTTTTGCCTACTTGAATTTATAAATTTTTAGGGATGTAAATAGAACACACAAATGTCTTAAAATATTTAATTTATTAATTTAGTTATACATACATATTGTAAATCACATATATAAAATAATATATTAATTTAGAAAATGCCCCGTTTTGCCACCCTCCCTTTCCCAAAGTCATTTTACTCTGACTCCTCATTGTCTTCACTAGCATGGGATCCCTGTTTGAGTCATTAGTTTCAAAACATCCCGTCGCTTCCATCCGAGCTGACAGTCCCTACGTGAGGTTCTCATTAGAAATTTTCTCCCAAGTCATGAGACCATATTCACAGAACATTAGGATGATTTCTCTTGTCGTTTTTTAATGTGTGCTGTGACTCTGAAACATAACCACTTAAGGTGGTGCTTTTTCAGACAACCTTTAAATGGCTTTTCTTTTAAAGCATCCAAAATGTCATTGTCAGGCCAAACACCTGGTAATAGTTACTGACTCTGGGTTAAATGTCTGTGTCTTTTTTTCTTAAACCATTTCAATTTCGTGTCCCCTATAAATATCCAAAACTAGCATCAATTGGGGTTGTTTCCAACTAATGGATCTTGTCCTCGAGCAACACTGTTTTATTCAAAATCAAATAGTTGAGAGCATGCCCCTAAGAAGAGATAACATCTCAAAGACTCAAGTGCAGGGTGACGCCTCCTTTTGGAAACAGGAGCCTTTCCTGGTATCAGGCCTAGATGGTACTTCTGCAGCCTTCTGTTTCTAGCTCTGTAAAATGGGGGTGATCACAGCACATACCTCCAAAGGTTATCACGATGACTGGGACTGCCATCATGCCTGCAGAGTGCCAAGACCACCAGACTGGCGTGGAGGTACAAACTCAGTGAAGGCCATCTGCTGTCATTGTAATAGTTATTGCTGTCATTCTGTGGCTCGTCAGTTCTAGAACTGGGGATAGACCCCAGGCCTCCTGACCAGCAATCTCATCTTTTTTCTCTTATGCAATGACTTAAATACTGTTTCTGTTTTTTGCATGCAAATTGTTCATTCATCTCCTTTGGATATATTAACTTTACATATGTTCTCTTTTCCAGTTGTATTGCTTTGCTCTTTGTAGCAGTTTTATTACATTTCTGTTGTGAAAGCTTTTAAGTTTTACATATCCAAGCTTTTAATTTCTACATTTTTGTCCACTCACTCATAACTTTCATTGCTTCTGTAGCTAGATATTATGACATTTTTTTCTAGAATTTTAATTACAAACAAAAACCTGAAACTCCTGCCCATCAGAAGGTGAGTACACTAGGTGGGCAGGCTGGATGGAAATGGGCCAGAGAAGCAGGCTCTTTCCTCATCCGAGATGCAGACTCCGTGTCTGGTAGTGGGCACCACTTGACTATCCAACCTAGCCACTGTGGCACGCTGGAGATGCTCCCATCAGACTAGCCAGAACTCCGTGACTGGTCATCACTGTAGACCCTGCCAGCAATAGCCGGGCTTGGCCTCACCTAGATCAATGGGGTGATCCAGAAGCAGCCCAGCCATCCTTGGAGTTCCTGGGAGCCTTGGCAGTGCTCAGAGTGGATTCAGTGACTGAGCAGCAGATCCACCCAAGAGACATCTCCTTGGACACAAGAAGCCTATACCACATCCTCCTTTCAGCCAGTGACTCTAGAACTAGAGAGATATTGGTTCATAGGCTTCTGCTTTGGGCAGCTAGGGGAAAATTCACCCATGTGTTCTGGTGTCACTTCCTGCAGCACGCCTAAACTAGGGCGACAGAGCAGAGGCTCCGAGTAGAACCCTGCCCCTCCAATGGCCTGCACGCCATGCTGATAGAAACTGGCAGCACTGGCCTGGGCTATGACTTACAATAGCCGTGCCCAGGAGGAGCACTAAAGTAGAAGTTTGGAGGACAGTGGTACTCTTCTGACAGCCTATGTGGCATTGAAGTAGAAGCTGGTCCTCCTGGGGCTCAACTGCCATTTCCAGTGGCCTCCCCCAAGAGGAACAGCAGCAAGGGCTGGCAAGGAGCCTGCCCTTCCAGTGGCCCACAGCAGCCACAGATAAAAGCCAGCCACGCCAGGGACACTAGGAGGGCCTGGCAAGGAAGTGTGCCCTTCTTGTGGGCCCACCAAGGCAGAGGCAGAGCTTCCTAGCAGACACAACTTGGAGGGTCCTCAGGCCCCCATCCTGGGAAGCAAGGTCCTACAATGACCCCTGTGACCTTGGCCAGAAGGTCCTCTCACAGGGACCCAGGCCACCACAGTGGCACTACGCAACATCTCCACCCTGACCCCCAGGTTGGAGAGGAGCCAAAAGCACTTGTTACATAGTGATTCCTTTTGCCCTGTGGGCCTCAGTTCCTGCCGTAGTTGTGAATCTGTGACTGAAATCACTACTTTCTCCTCGGATCCATTTTCTCTTTTCGAGCTGTTAGGATGTGTTTTGTACAGCTGTCATTTGATAAAGGTTAACCTGTACCAGGGGCAAGTCTGGCATCTTTACCTAGAAGTACTTTGCCATGTCTTGCCTGTTCGTTCATCATTTGCTGGGTGTGATCGCATTGAAGTCTAGACACAGCATTAGCTGGGAAGATAGCATAGCATCGTCACTGCTCTCGGCTGGGACGTGGCGTCTTGGCAACCCTTCCTGCCCTCGTTAAGCTCTTTCCCATCTTCAGTTCTATAATTTTCTCTCAAACAAATCCTCTTTTACAGTTAACACTAAAGATCTTGTCTTTGCCATCAAGGTTGACAGAACAGCTCTTCATGGTGTTGCGGTGAAATCCATGTTCTCTTTCAACACAGTCTGCGGCTTTAACGAGTGTCCTGTAATTTGCCAAGTTCATTTTTTGCCTCTGGTAACTTGGGAGTGTATTTCTTTGGACTCTCTAGGTGTATTGCTATGTCACATGTAAAATGTCACCCAGCTTCCTGTCGCATATCCTTGGCTGTGCATTCATGCGCCTACCTCATTCCAGTTTTCTTTCTAATCCCATGTATTCCTATTGTGAGGGAATTTGTTCTTTTCCTGATCCTTTTGTAGTTCATACACGTGACAAAGGGGTTTCCACACACATGTGTGAGATGTGGCCCCTTCAAACCTCGTTACTATGTCGGCAGATTACTTGTCTGACATGGAAAAAGAAAAAAGAAAGACATTCTTTTACTACCATTTGAAAGAAGAAACCCTCCATTGCTTTTAGTAGAATTTTGAATACTTGTAAAATTTTCAAAAGAAAAGAATCGCTTACCATTTTTGCTGCTTATTACAATGAGCTATGTCCATTAGCTGCGTCGATCAACTCTTGCATTTCCAGAATAGGCCCCACCGAATTGTAGGGCATCTTTCTCTTGTGGTGTTGCATTCCATGTGCTTGATTTTTGCTAGAACTGGCGTGCCTGCCCTACCAGCAGCCCTGGGTTGTGGCCCTATTGTGTACCATATGATTTGCCACCCCACTTCTGGGCCACATTAATTCAACCAGAACTGAACACCTGAGCCGAGGGCAGCAAGCAATCATCAGAACTGGCAGAATACTATGGACCAGGGACACCACCAGGCCTTCCAGATTTGTGAAGTGCAGACAAGGAAACAGTGCTTCTAGGCATCAGAAGGTATGGGGAGCAGTACAGTACTCAGAGGAATGAGGAACATGGCATCTGCTGGGAGGGAGGCCTGGCCATGGTATGTTCTTGGATTTCTGGCGGCTGCCCTCATTGGTCCATGCGTATCCTGAGCACGACCCGACTTGAGCCTGCTCCTTTCTATTGTGTTTTGCCACTTGGCTGCTTCCTGGCCAAGTCGCCCCTGAGTGCGCGAACACCTGTTTGAATGTTTGTTCTCTGTTCTCTAAGATGGGTGAAAGTCAATGCCTTCTAGTCTCAGTGAACCCACCACGTGGGGGCCATAAAATGGGTGAAGACACAGTGCACGCTGCTCTCTTATTTTTGAAGTGTTTCATGGTTTCCAGCATGTCCATCAGATGGGGGATTGCTGACTTCTCTCTTACTAGTGTACTTACATTCTGTAGTTGTCATTGCGTCACTTTGGGTGTTTACTTTGAAAGGTAGAAACTGTCTCTTTACATACTGTCTCAATGTCACTTGCACATCTCTGAGAACTACAGCTATGTCCACCCCAGTTTGTGTTTCTGTTCTGTTGTTGGCACTTTTTTCTCATTCCCCCCCAATGTCGTTACCTTGTCTGTTTTCTGGCACTCACTATAATCAGCGTTGCACTAGAGCTGTTTGTGGACTTGGCTTCAACCCCTCCTCCTCAGCCCTCCCCAACCCATTATATTGTGAGCTCTTACAGGGGTGGCCCTTCATGTCTGATCCCCTACCAAATCTAGCACAGTGCCTTGCATCAAGTAGATTTCAATAAAGATATGTTCAATGGCATTGGTCTTCCTTGACTTCTTTTGTCAAAGCTTTGTTTACCACTTCCCTTGCTCCTTTCTGCATGCCATGGGGTTCTATACTTCTCCTTGCACTTGGAAAGTGCCCCCTCTTGGGGTCCAGATTATGTCATGGTTATTCCAGCACTTGCTGGGCACTTCCTGATGGAAGAGGCTGGTTGGCCTAGACCTAGATGTAAAAGCTCTCCCACGGCAGAAGGGGTCTTTCACTCAGCCTCTCCTCACCACAGCTAGGGCTCCCCAAGTCAGAATTCCGAGTGGGAGCAGAAAACAAGATCTGCAGCTCCTCCCTCAAGGTCTGGGAATGAGATAACATGACTTTGGGACTTGAGAATCATCCCACTTCTAGGCTGCATAGGGGTAGGGGTGGGGGTTCAGTCCCCTTGGTGGCCTGTGGCTGACCCTATCCCTGGTGACCACTGCCTTAGAGAAGCCAGGGGCAGGAGCAGGCCCCAATTTCCTGACCCTCCTAAATTTAGCCGATGGCCCAGCTGTGGACTCAGCAGCCTAACTACTGAAGAACATCCTGTCCCTTGGGCTCCAGGATGCATGTCCCGATGGGAGCCAACAGGAGGAGACAATCTGACTCCCTGCACCGCCCCAGTCTCCCTGGCTTCTGACAGGGGCCCATCCTCATCACCAATGTTGAGTCTTCTACCCCAGGTGCAGCTCTGGGTGAGTGGAGCAATAACGCCCCACTTGAGGGTTGCTTCCTTCTTGGCTAGGCAGCCACCTCCCGGTGTGTCCACCCCCAGGCAATGCCTGCCCCAGCCTGGCCCAACCCCCACTGCTTGCAAGTCATTTAATTGTTGGGAAAGATTCATTATGTGCTTGTTACTGAGAATTCCACCTGGTTTTGTTTGTTTTTCTTAAAATGCGTGTAAGCTGCTCTAACAAGCCTCAGTTGTACATGAGTCCAAGGTGGGAGGGGGCCCCTAGTAGAGGGTTGAGAATATTTCTACTGCCCTGCTCCTAGTGCCCCTGCCTGCCTGAGCGCTGTAGCTCTTTCATCACCACCCTCTGAGAAAATGGGATGTGCCTTCGGCTCTCCTCCCTGGTGGAACATTTTTTAAAAAAAGATTATTGGAAAGATCATGTGCTACATCCTAGAGATCTCTTGCTGGCCTAAGAGTTCACATTCCCCAACCCCAAATCTCTGGGCCAGTGTCTGCAGCCTCAATTCCTCTAGCCCAGGTTCCCCATCACAGCCCTCTCACTGGAGGAAGGACAGGCCAGCAGGTAGAAATGGGGGCTTACGCTTTTATCCCTACTGCATTTTAGCTTCCCCACCCCAACACCCTCCCAATCTATTTTCCTGAAGCTTCCAGAACCGTCTTTTTCCACTCTTGTTAGTCTCCAGCAGACACGATGAACCTTCTGGGCTAAAATTCATTTCACTCAAAAGCTCCCTGCATAAAAAAAAAATGACCTCAAACTTTTTTCGGGCAAGATTGTCAGAAAAACTCTGTTCTTTCATCCCTTTTCTGACCTTTATTCAACAAGCATTTATTTAGGACCTGCTGTGTGCTGGGCCCCAGAGATGTAAAAGCAAGTGACAAGGTCCCTGCCCTCAAGTACAGAGTACCAGAGAGAAATAGACATGCAGCCAAAATGTCACCACAAGTGGGCCTACGTAAATGTTCACCAAGCTGTGCTCCTAGGTAGGATTTGTGCAGTTGAGTGAGGCAGGTCACACAGCTACCAAGCCAAATGCATACATTAGTGGGTAAATCCCCGCTTGTGTGAGGTTTTAATACATTCCTCTCTGGCGCCTCTCTATCTCTGACCCAGCCCCGCCCCATCAGCCTCACTGGCAAGCCTGCCTCTCTGCTTTGCCTTGCCTTGCCTTGCTGGGCACAGTCCATGTTCTACTCTGTGGACCAGGGCTCTCTTTCTGCAACCAAGATGAGCTCTCACCTTCGACCTCTGGAGAGAGCAGAGAGCTCAAATGGGCTGGTCCTCACCCAAGCCCGGTAGGCCCCACCATGCTACAGAGAGTTCTTTACTGGAAGATTGGCCTGTCATCTCAGCACTTTCAAAGGTGGGTGGGTCCAGCACCTCAGGGTGCTGTGAGCTGGCTGGGCTATGTCACTCCTGGATACTGTGCTGCTAAGTTTCTGTCCATTCCTGTCCCATCTCCTCTAACAAACCAGCTTCCTCTGCAACTTCAAATCTGTTCATCCCTTTCTTCTCTATTGCAAATGCTGCAGTCCTGAGGTGTTTCCTCTGGGCCCCTACAGCCCAAGGGATTCTGGCACCACCACCCCTTATTGAGCTGTTTGTCACTGGTGTCTACAGGTGTCTCCCTTCCCCACAGAAGTCTTCTTCACCTTTGAACACCACCCTACTGGATGCCACAGGGGTGCAGACAGAGAAGGCCCTAACCACACCCCACCCCCAACTGGGAAGAGACCCCTCCTTCCTCTCTAGGCTCCCTGTGCTGCGAGACTCTAACTCCACAGCCTGGGAGGGGCTGTACCCCCATACTGGGAGCCCCCAAGGTAAGGTGGGGTGGCTCTCCCTGATCCCTGCTGGACACCGGGGCCCTGAATGAAGGTTTATTTGGAGTTTATGAGAGGAATCAGCTCTCCCACCCCAGGACCATGTCCTTGGGGATGGGACAGATGGGATGGAATGTAGCCTCAGCCTGGGCCTCCCCTCACCTCCTGCATCCCCAGAAGGAAGAGGTGGAGATGATGGCTCAGATCATCCACTGGGTGCAGGAGGACGTGTCAGGACTGGGCCGGCCCCAGCTCCAGGGGTCCCCGGCCACAGAGCCCGTGGCCGTGCCCATGATGCTGCTGAACCTGGTGGAGCAGCTTAGGGAGGCAGACAAGGAGCTGGGGAACTGGTGCGCCTGGAGGATTCTGCAGCACATCTGCACGTGGGGGGGAGGCCTGAGGACCTGGGGTGGCAGGGGGCCCTCCACTCCCCAACTCGCCAGGGTGTCCTCAGGCTTTACACACCTGGAGGGAGAGACACAGGGAGGTCCCCACCTGGGGAAGGTGGAGGGCTCAAGGGCTGGAGGGAGGGTGCGGAGGCTTAGGCAAGGCCTGACAGCAGGAGATCCTCCAGATCCAAGTCCCTCCCAGGCCTCTGAGTGGCCACTGCACAAAGGTGATGACCTACTGGTTGAAGGTGGCAGGTGAGTGGCAGGTGCCTGGAGGATGAGGATGGGTAAGGCCTGCACCATGGCTCAGAAGGTCCCCAAGGCCAGGAGCTGACAAATGGGAGGGGTTGAATGGTGGAGGTTGGGTGTCTTGTCCCTGAACCTCAAGAAGCCTCAGGGCACCAAGCCCACTTTGGAAAGGCAACAAATGCCAATGGCCAAGGCCAGAGCCCAAATTTCACCATCAGGTAATGAACTTCCAAGATTCAATAATAATTTGAAATGTATCTCTGATATGATTTGGGTGTGTTCCACCCAAATCTTGTCTTGAATTCCCACATGTTGTGGGAGAGACCCCGGGGGTAGATAATTATTCAATTACCATGGGAGCAGGTCTTTCCTTTACTGTTCTTGTGACAGTGAATAAATCTCACAAGATCTCATGGTTTTTAAAAGGGGTATTTCCCTGCACAAGCTCTCTTTTCTTGTCTACTGCCATGTGAGACATGCCTTTTACCTTCTGCCATGATGGTGAGGCCTCCCAAGCCACGTGGAACTGGAAGTCCATTAAACCTCCTTCTTTTGTAAATTGCCCACTCTCGGGAATGTCTTTATGAGCAGCATGAAAACAGACTAAAACAGTACATTGATATCAGTACAGTGGGGCACTGCTGCAAAGACACACAAAAATGTGTGCGGAGGAAAAGTTAAACATTAAATTTGAACTCAGTTGAACTTGGACACAAGCAATGATCAGCAAGTCCCAGAACAGGTTGTATGAGCCCCTTGAGGCGTTCATCCAGTGCTGTTTCAGAGAAATCTCTATTTCCAACTATTGCTATATGTTGAAAAACAAGTTGACCTTTTTGTGTTCCTTAAGCCCAGTCATGAAGGGCCCTCATGACTGGGCCTCATGCCAAACAACTCATTACAAAAAGAGCTAGGGTCTCAGACTGCACCAAAGCTTCATGAGACCTCTCCTCATCTGTGCTCAGATGATTGGCCAACTCTGGAGCCCAAGCTGTTGCTTCCCAGTCTGGTGGTGAATCCTCCATAGTCTGGTGAGTGTAAATATATGTATGTATATATATATATATATATATATATATATATATATTTACTTATCAATTTGCTTATTATTATGTCATTTGCTTACTATATCATTTGCTTATTATATCTGTATTGCCATTTACATGGGATAAATGTTGTTTACCCTTAAAGGTATTGTGTGTGTGTCTTTTCTTCTCCCCTTGCACATTTCCTGCACAGAACAATGTGGAAGTGACTTTGGAACTGGGTAACAGGCAGAGGTTGAATTCCAATGTTTGGAGGGCTCAGAAGAAGACAGGAAAAGGTGGGAAAGTTTGAAACTCCCTAGAGACTTGTTGAATGGCTTTGACCAAATCCAGGCTGAGGTGGTCTCAGGTAGAGATGAGGAACTTGTTGGGAACTGGAACAAAGCTGACTCTTGTTATGTTTTAGCAAAGAGACTGGTGGCATTTTGTCCCTGCCCTAGAGATTTGTGGAACTTTGAGTTTGAGAGAGGTGATTGGGTGGAAGAAATTTCTAAGCAGCGAAGCATTCAAGAGTTGAGTTGGGTGCTGTTAAAGGCATTCCGTTTGAAAAGGGAAATTTATAGCCTGACAATGTAATAGAAAAGAAATTACCTTTTCTGAGGAGAAATTCAAGCCAGCTGCAGATATTTGCATAAGTAACTTGGAGCCAAATGTTAATCACCAAGACAATGGGGAAAATGCCTCCAGGGTGTTTCAGAGACCTTTGCATCAGCCCCTCCCATCACAGACCCAGAAGCCCAGGAGGCAAAAATGCTTGTGTGGGCCAGGCCCACGGTCCCTCTGCTATGTACAGCCTAG